CAGCTGGAGCACAGAGAGCAAACAGGAAGTGGGACAAAGCTATGAACTCCCAAAGCCCACCCAGTGACACGCTTCCTCCAGCCAGGCCCATACCTCCTAAACCTTCATGAACAGTGCCACCACTGGGGATGAAGTGTTCAAGTACTTGAGCCTATGGGGGACATTTCTCATTCAAACCACCACAGTGAGCATTTGTTTAGTACATATCCCAGTCTAGCTCCGTGTGTACAGACCGAGGCACTCTCTGCCCTTGGGGTGCTTTCCATCTAGGAGTATCATGACACACAGTTGGGCTTCTAGTTTCAACACAAGATAATAAAGTCAGAGCTGTTGTTTCACAGTGCTGGGAAGACAGGGAAGATTTGCCTCCTTTGTGGCCATGGGATATTTCCTAGAGGAGGAATGCCTGAATTGCTTCTTGGAAATGCGGAGTTAACTAGAAGGGGTATAGAGAAGAATGTCCTGGGCAGGGCAGAGCCTAAGCAGAGACATGGGGCTCTGATGATGCAGACACCCTGGCAATTTGATGCTCTAAGCAGGTGGTAAGGGCTTAGTGGGACTGTCCTTTGTTCCCTGTGGCACTGTGAAAGCCTCCAGTCTTGACCTTCCTCAGATGTGTCTTCCACACAGCAGCCAAAGCGCACACATGTAACAACACATTTCAATTGCTTGGCTTTTCTGGTTTCAAAGCTTCAGTGGTTCCCATGGGTTAGAGGACAAATCTCTCTCCACCCGGCCTTCATCCAGATTCTTAGCCCGCTGCTCTGCTCCTCTCTCTTGGCATTTCTCAGCGAGAACATTCCATGTGTAGGGTCCACACATGTTGTCCCCTCCCTCCTTGCCACCTGGCTCACCCTCCACACCCCATTACTAATGAAGGTGTATGGCTTACTTCCTCCAGGGTCCACCTCTGACTCCTCTCATGAGTTCTGTCTCGGATTACTCTTTCTCCTATAGATCTTGGTTTCTGTCTTTCTCACTGCTCAGTACACTGCTTTCCAGTCATCTGCATGGCTACACTTGTCCCATAAGAGTTCCTAAAGGGCCTTAAGTTTCCCAGTTATGACTCTGGGATCTTTGCTGGAGGTGGTGAGTGACTGGACATAGGGTGCTGTATTAGTTACTTTTCTTACTGCTGTGATAAAATGCTTGACAAAGTTGACTTAAGGAAGGGTTCACTTTGCCCCCCAGTTTCATGTACATACATCATGGTGGGAAAATCACAGCAGCAGGAGATTGAGGCAGCTGGTCACATTGCATCTACAATCAGGAAGCAGAGAGAGATGAATGCTGTGCACAGCTCACTTTCTCTGTATTCAGTCTAGAACTCCTGCCATGGAAGGGTGCCACACACATGTAGAGTAGTCTTTTTAGAATTCAGGATGACAAAGTGACTTCAACAGATGCAGATAGCTTTATTAGCTCTGAAGGACAAGCAGCCTTCCCTTGGGAATGGAGGCTGTGTGTTGGGGTTGGGGTCTGGGATTTATAGGTGGATCCAGAAAATCCCAGAAAGGAGGTCGTGCCTTCCTAGAATCCTAGAAGGTGGGTGCCTTCTTGGGTGTTGGCTTCTCCTTCCTGGGATCTGGGAAGGAGAGATGGGGATTTCTGATAGGGGAACCAGGTATCTTCTGCTAGGTGGCTGGTAAGGAACCAGATCTTCAAGGAAGCTGATAAGGAACTAGATGTCTCTTGATAAGGAACCAGATGTCTAGGCTAGAGGCCATATGTTTCGAAATGGATGTGTCTCCCTCCTGGAGGGCGGAGGTAGGGTGGACAGGTGATCAGTTTCTTTGGTCATTGTCAGGTGGATTTTCCTTCAGGTCTTCCGACCTCAATTAATATAATCTGGGTAATCCCTCAAAGGCCTGCTCAGAGGCTTGTCTCCTAGGTGATTTTTAAAGCCTGTCAAGCTGGCAATCAGTACTAACTATCACAGGTAACTCTCAAGAGTTAGGGTCTTTCTTCCTCACTGTAAGAAACCCAGCTCTGAGACCATCCCTCCCTAGCTCACGCTCTCCTCTTCCTCCATGCTTTGTTGACTGACTAAATGTGGGGTGAATGGTTTTGTTTAAATGAAAGATGAATCCTTAGTTTACCAGTTCTTATAACATGGGGTTTCTAGCTTGACTTAAAGGGAAATATGCTGGCCATAAAATAGTGATTTTTATCTCCATGGAAACAAAAACAAAGCTGGCCACTAAACTTGGCTGGATGGTCTAGCCTCTAGTCAATCTTGCTAGACCTTGTCCCAAGTTAGCATCTTCTGTGAACATGTGTTTCAGTATTTGTAAAACATGGGATGGAATTTTTTCTGGCTCATTCCACTAAAAGGAAAATGTAAATTATCTTTTAGGCCAAACCTAGTATTGGACAATTGTCAAAATACTACAATTAAATGATTAAATGAGAGAAAATATTTTTCTGGGAGTGTTGGGTGTGGCAGGAATGTGCTTGCCATCTTTCCTTAAACACATCACTTACTCATTTGCCTCATTTGTTATTTTTATCATTAGGCTTCATCTCGTCCTCCCCCACTCCACAGTTTCTACAACTGACCAAAACTTCTCTGAGCTCATTAAATGAACATAACTCTGTTACCAAGTTACCAATAAGGAAGAAACTTGTCATTGAATTTGGGTTAGTGCTTAGACCTGGGGCTTTCCCCTGGGATTTTTTTTTTTTTTTTTTTTTTTTGTTTTTTAAAAAAAATCCTTTTTGATCATGTTTAGACCCCTTACCCTATCTGTGCCACCATATAGTGCCCTCACTGGATTTCATGCATTCTGTCTAATATGTTAAGGTCTATTTATTTAAGATTGTGTCCCCAAATATCCCTCAGTGTGAATTCATCCATTGGGTCCTGGTCAACCTATCTAGCATCATTTCCTTACAAGCAAATCTCCCTCACCAGCAGTGATCAGATGCCAATAGTTCCTCAGGGAAGGTAGGGTAATATGATATTATATAATTTAACTTTTAAAGAATATCATAGTATTTACATCATTTCTACTCTGCCTCTGCCTCCAGAGTGCTGGGATTAAAGGCATGCGTCACCACACCTGGCTTTCTCCTGGGATTTTTATCATTAATAATCCATTTTATGAGGCCAGTAAGATGGCCCAGTGGGTAAAAGTGCTTGCCATATAATTGTACCCAATGGCCTGAGTTTGATCGCTAGTACCCTTGTAAAGGTGGGAGGAGAGAACTGGCTCCCAAAAGTTGTCTCTGATCTCCACTTGTACACTACAGCATATATGTGTCTGTGCACGCACACACACACACACACAATTGTGAAAAGCTTTATTACATTTTATTTACTTTTATCTTATGTATATGAGTATACTGCCTGCATGTGTGTAAGTACACCTGTGTTATGCAGTGCCCTTGGAGATCAGAAGAGGAGGATGGATTCCCCTGGAACTGGAGTTAAGGGTTGGGGCTTAGCTACCTTGTGGGTGCTGGGAATTGACACCAGGTCCTCTGTAAGAGCAGCCAGTGCTCTTAACTGCTGAGAATCTCTCCAGCCCCATGAGAACCTTCTTACATTAAGGTTGTTCCCCACCTACCATCTGTGCCATTGCTGTTTTCTTGTGTGTGTGCTAAAAAAACACGGACGCTCAGTCTGTAAAGTGGAGTTTTTAACTCCATGTCTAGATAACTTTAAAACTTTTTTTCTCTTATGTGTCGTAGACTGGCCTGGAACACACTAGGTAGTTGAGGATGGCCATAAGATCCCAATCCTCCTGCCTCCACCTCCTTAATGCTGGGGTTGCAGGTGTGCACACCATGCTCAATTTATGATCCAGCCCTGGGCTTTGTGCATGCTAGGCAAGCACTGTACTACCTGAGCCGCACCCTAGCCCTGCTGTTGAATTTGTCTCACGTAGAAAGCTGTATACTGAACCTCTAAGGACAGACAAAAAGAACTTAGAGAAGGTCTGGGGAATACCCAACATTTTTTACTTTGGGGACAGCTTCAAGGGGGCCAGTGTTCAGTGTTAGGAATCTTTCCAATGATCATTTATCCAGAATTAATGATTAACACAGAAGGCTTAGTCAGGAAGGCTAGACCTCTGGATTCTAAACAGTATAGCCAAACCAGAGATGCCATTGCTACTGAAGAAAATAGGTCATTCTTGATAGTCCTGCAGCCAGGGGTCACTGTATAGTGTATTTTACATTTGGAGATGACCATTTGGAGATGCCCTGCAGAAGCCCAGCCTTCTGCTCTGAGCCTTGTATTGACAAGTCACCTGTGCCTCTCTTTGGCTGTAGATGGAGGTCACAGTTCTATGTAACCTGCTGTGGTTGTGACAGCCTTGGAAGAAAGAGGCCCCTAAAGTTGGACAATGTTATTACTAACTCATCACTCCTTGTTTTGAAGAAATACATAGGAATTTCTGTTGTGTAAATAACTGTAACTGCTTTAATTTCTTCACATGTACACAGGGTGACATTTTCCCAGATACTTGAGATAGCATCATGAACTCTGTCTGTCCTCATTTCTCAAGTTCATTTGCTTCTCTTTGTTTTGAGTCACTCAGATAGAACTGGAATGTCAGGTCGCTGCTGTCTTGCACCCCATACCTGTTTGTGTGCAGCTCAGTTAATCCAGTTTAGGATTGGGGCTGAACATGGGATGGGAAATGAGACAGAAAGCAAACAGGTTTTGGTTTGCATCCTGTGTTACATCTGCATGGTTTAGTGTTGGACTTTGCAAAGATGGTGCATGTTGCTGTACCACTATACTGGGACCACCAGCCACCACTGGTTTGGGCTGTCCTGATCAAGTGCAGTGTGTATGGCCCGACACATGTTGGTGGGAGGGTGTGAGGTGGGGCCAGCCAAGATGGTTGATGTAAACCAAACAGCTCCTCCTGCATCTAATTTTTCCTCAGGGTCCATGGAAGGAGTTACATTTTCAGTTTGACCAACACAGACTAACAAAGTTAACATAGTAACTTTGATTGAAATGATCTCTCTTCCTTCTATTTAAGATCCAGCAGTGGGAGCAGAATCTGGAAAAATTCCACATGGATCTGTTCAGGATGCGCTGCTATCTGGCAAGCTTACAAGGCGGAGAGTTACCAAACCCCAAGAGTCTCCTCGCTGCTGCCAGCCGCCCATCCAAGCTGGCGCTCGGCAGGCTGGGTGTCTTGTCTGTTTCATCTTTTCATGCTCTGGTGAGTTCCTGAAGAGGGCTGCTTCAGTGGTTTGCACAGAGGCTCACCCCTGCTGGTCCCTCAGCTGGAAATTAGCTTCAAAACTGATGAGGGTCACAGAAGCTGGGGACTGGGCAGGAGAGGAGGCGGTAGTCTGCAGTTCATCGGCTGCTTAATTCCGGGAGTCTAGCTATTAGTTGGCAGTTACTCCATATCCATTCTTGCTTGTTTGTCCTTCCTCATACTGGTGGGAAGGTGGCTCCCTGAGGAGTCACCAGTGGGTGAAAAAGAAGAAGATGGGTTAAATATTGTTTCACCTGGGGCTGGGGTGATAGCTCAGTAAAGTGGTGCAAGGCGACCATAAGAACCTAAGAACCACATTAAAAGAAAAAAGTAGCCAGGCCTGGTGACATGTGCCTTTAGTCCCAGCACTTGGGAGGCAGAGGCAGGCAGATCTCTGTGAGATCGAGACCACCCTGGTCTGTATAGCGAGTTCTAGGTCAGCTGGGACTACAGGAAGACCCTGTCTCAAAAAAAGAGCCAGACGTAATTGTGTGTGCTTGTAATTCCAGCACTGGGGAGGTGGAGACAGGAGGATCCTTGGGAGCTCAATGGCCAGCCAGTCTACTCCAGTTGGAGAGCTCCAGGCCAATGAGAGAACCCATCTCAGAAAAATAGAGATGAAGGGCTGGGGAGATGGCTCAGTGGTTAAAGCTCTTTCTGCTCAAGCAGGAAGACAGAAGTTCAGATCCCAAGAACCCATATAAATGCTGCCTGCCTATAATGCTGTCCTTTGGAAGGTGAATCCCCAGAGCAAGCTGACTAGGGAGACTAGCTATATCAGTGAGCTTTAGGTTTGACAGAGAGGGCCTTCCTCAAAGAACAAAGTAGAAGAGGGATGGAGGAAGATTCCAGGCATTAACTGCAGGTCTCCACACATACCTGTCCACACACATGTGAATACATATATACATACATGCACATTCCACAAACACACAAGAGAAGAAAAAGATTTAAATACAGACAAGGTGGCTGGAAACCGATGAATGGCACTAGAGGTCAACCTCTGGTCTCCCACGCACCTGCCCACACATGCACCCGTATGCACACATACACAGTAAATAAATAATGGTTGCTTGGTGTGTACTGCTGAGAGCCCCATGGGTAGAATCTGAAATTGTTCCCAGCGTCTGTGTTGAACTGGCTCAGCTTGAGGGGCCTTGGTGGCTTTGGTGATTCTGCTGCCCACTACAGGGGTGGGGATCTGAATGCTGGAACTTGACCTGTGCTGTCTAGGTCAGAGACATATGTGTGGAGGCTGCATTTCCGACATATGAACTATGCGGCGTCTTCTGCTGCTAATCAGAATGCATTTGCAACAGGGCTGACTATGGTACACAGACACTTTGATGGGCTTTGAGATGTTTTTCACTGCGTTTCGCATTAGGTGTGTTCTAGAGATGACTCAGCTCTGAGGAAAAGGACACTCTCCCTTACCCAGCGGGGGAGGAGCAAGAAGGGCATATTCTCCTCATTGAAAGGACTGGACACCCTCGCAAGAAAAGGGAAGGAGAAGAGAGCTTCAGTAACTCAGGTAAGTTCTCAACCCGGGAGGAACGGGAGGCCGCGTGACCTTCATGATACCTCCACTTCCAGCGTGCTGCAAGCTATAAATGTTCATTGTCTGTTAAGGGTGAAGTCAAAATTAGTTCAAAGCAGTCTAGGCTCATCAGGGACTTTTGTCTCCAAGTGAAATATACAGTTGACTCAGTTTTCCTTGGCATGTCCCGAAAGGCGGGCACACCTGTACAACACTTAGGAACACGAGAAATAATAATTATTGTAAAACAGGGCTAGGGGTATGGCTCGACTGGTGGAGTGTTTGCTTAGTATCCCCAAAGCCCTGGGTTTGATCCCCTCCACTGCATAATCTGGGAATGGTGATGCACACTTCAAATCCCAGAGTTTGGAGGTTGAGACAGGAGGATTAGTAGTTCAAGGTCATCCTCAGTGAGTTTCAGGTTAGTCTGAGGTAGAGACTGTCTCAGAAAGAAGAAAGAGAAGTGTCAGATAATGAAGCTCCAGCTGAGCTTGCCTAGAAAGCACAAGAAGAAGGCGTCAGATCCCCTGGAACTGGAGTTACGGGCAGGTGTTAGCTGCCATGTGGGTGGGCACTGGGAATCGAACCTGGGTCCTCTGCAAGAGCAATCAATGCTCTTAACTACTGAGCCATCTCTCCAGCCCCCCATCTAGATTTTATGTAAAAATAAATGCAGAAAAGTAATGATGATCCAAGGAAATGTAACTAGATTGTACTGATAGTGTTGGCGTCCATTGATGATGTAAGGTACTGGATTCTACTGATAGTGCTAGATTCTATTGACAATGTAGTGCTAGATTCTATTGATGATATATAGTGCTAGAGTCCATCAATGACATTAATTTTTTCCAATATTCTGTCCACATTAAAAAAACTGTGATTGATTTTGGTGGTGTTTCCAACACTCTGTTTCCTGTCTTCTGAAGTGAGTGCTTGGTTAAAAAAATCAACTTCAAGAAGATTCAGGATGGCTTGACTAATGTGTGACATCATAGAAAAGTAAAATGTCAATATAGGAGGAAAGGCAGAAACCTTGACTATTAGAACACATTGTGAAATGAAGATCTTCTAAAATGTTATCCAACTTTAGTCTTTAGAACTAAAATGTGTGGATGTGACCATTGCAGAGCATTTCATTAGTCTCTTTCCTCTCTCCTGTCTGTCAGATATTTGATTCCAGTGGCAGCCATGGATGTCCTGGAACTCAACTACCTCAGAACTCCACCCACTCAAGTGAGGTAACCATGGCTGTACAGGGCAGCCTTCTTCTTTTACATTGGTGAGGCAGGCACCAAGTTAAGTAAGAAATGCTAGTTCAGAGTCTTTACATGAACCTGTTTATAAAAAACAAGTTTGGATTTAAAAATGGTCCCTACTAAGTGAGCTAAGTGGTGTTCACTAAATGCTAAGTATTTTGGGAGGCTTTTACACTTATGACATAACTATCTTAAAATCAGTGCTGAGTAGATGAGTGGGAACAGCATCTCGTTCCTCAGCAGTGCTTGCCGTCTTTTGAAGGTTAGTGAATCCCAAGTTGCCACTCCCTCTTATGACCCTCAAGGTCATACAAATAGTGCGTGCCATGCTGTGTATGGACAACCTCTGCCTCTCCAGGTGCCCTCAGTGGAGTTGAGTCCTGTCACTCTCTAGTCTCCAGAGTTGCTTCTGACTGGATAGATTTTCAAGACTGTTTCTGAATGAATTCAGGAGTTGGGTGGACTGCTTGGGTATGCTTATATCTCCTCTCTGTGCCCCTTCCAAACTTGCTTTCTTCTCTTAAAGCTACAGTTCATGTCATCGATCAGTTTCTCCAACTTTTCCTTCATTGAACTGTTTTCTCTCTCTGTATATATTTTGTTGAAATTTTGTGCATTTCATATAATGCATATTAATCATATTTAGATCTTCTCACCAGCTGCACCTCCCCATAGCCTCCCCAGTGGATTTCATGAATTCTGTCTCATATGTTAAGGCCAATATGTTAAGGTCTTGATAGAGTCAAGTTTGTGTACCCAGATGTCCCTTGGTTCATCCACTGGAGCCTGTTCAGCCTATCTAGCATCACTCCCTTAAAGAAGATCAACACTTCCTCACCCAGCAGTTATCAGCTGCCAGTAGTTCCTTGGCTCATGTTGGGACCTCCTGCCCATTTCTCCAGTTTTGTGCTAGGTTTTGTCTGATCGAGTTTGCCTTGGTCTTGTACATGCTGTCACCATTGCTGTAAGTTCTCATGGGCAAGTTCCCAGAGGCCTAGTAGACTCTGTTTCCTTGTGGTCATGAACCACTCAAGCTCTTACAATCTTCCTATCCCCTCTTCCACAATAATACCTATGTGCTGAGTGGGTGAGGTTTAATATAGAGTCCTATCCAGGGATAGGCACTCTTAAAATCTCTTATTCTCTACACTTTGGCCAGTTGTGGTTGGTCCTCTCTGTTCATCACCTTCTGTTGCGTAAGGAAGCTTCACTGGGTGAGAGTTGCGAGATGCATTGGTATTATCTCTACCTCCTGTTCCACTGTATTCTGCAAGCCTTAGGTGTAGAGGTTCCATTGTAGATGTGTCCCCTAGGGCTGGACATCTCACAAACACTTATTCTCTGTGCGTAACCAGTTGTGGAACAATATAGACCGAAAAAATTGTGTTTTCTTTATTTTTAACAAAGTTTGCTCTGTTTATTGAAGTTCAACAGATACTGATTGACACGGACAAAACTAGTGTGCTTTTTCAGAGACCGGAATTATTCTTAACATATTGATGGGAATAATTCAATGAATTGGAAATTTAGTTTGAAAAATACTGAGGACTAGCAGAATGTTAGACACTGTGGAAGGTCCTGCAAGAAGGGAGTGAGGGGCTCTCTGGTGGTGCTCATCACAGGCAGTTATGCACTCTGCCTCCGCGTGAGTGAGGGTGGCTACAGTCTTCTTAGTGTGCCATTGCTGTTGCTGAAACTGCTCCTGGGCGGCATCTAGGCCTCAAGCTCCCTGCCTCTTGTGGGATGAGGGCTCAACAGGTTAGATAATCCTGTGACCAGAACCATGTTTGCCCTTGCCTACCAAGATCCAGGGCTGCTAAGGGCAGGCTATGGGGATGGGTGGCTTGGACTAGGAAGCCACGACTGTGAGGTTGCTTGTGCATTGTGCTTACTTCTTGCAAGCTCTGACAAGCCATAAGGGGACAAGGGAGCCACATCTAAACCTTTTCTATGAATGATGCCATCAGCGTGTTCATAATGTCCCTTCCTTGCCCTTTTCTTTCTGTTAACTGTCCTCCAGGGACTGAGTCAGTCGTATGGTCAATGTGTCACCAAGACTTGTCTTATTCTTACTGTATCCTACCTTGTGCCGTCATGTGGCATGTGAGGGGTTTTGTGTGTGTGTGTGTGTGTGTGTGTGTGTGTGTGTGGTGTTGTATCTTACAGAAGAGCTTGTCACTATGACTCTTGGTTGTGTGGTGTGTAAGTGTTCCCATGATTATATATATTCTAAACCTACCACCCTGCCAAAGATACAGTACTTGCTTGTTTATTAATGAATAATTTATATTAGGTGTAGTCCCTTAATGGTTGAGAACTGTTGGATCCACAATAAAATGCCAGTGTTTTCTGCCTGTACCTCTCTCAGCGTTATATAGCAATTGGAAATTCTTAGTTTAAAATGTTAAGGGATGAGATCATCAAAGCATTTTCTCTTAAGACTAATGGAATTCATTTGACATGAATTTTACTAGAAGAGTCAACACTGTGAGAATGAAGTTTAATGTTTATTTAAATTGGGTTCAAGTTTATACATCATATTCCAATTGAAGCCGCATGTCCCACCAAGTGATAAAAGAAAAGATTAAGATATTACTAGGTCTGTTTTTTGAAGTATGGATATATAAGCAGCTATTCCTGTTTGTTTCTTCAAGTTTTATTTTATTTTTAATTTTGTGCCTGTGTGTATATCTATCTCTGGATATATACACTTAGGTGTAAGTGCCCACAGAAGACAGAGGCATTGGAAGCCCTGAAGCTGGAGTTACAAGGGGGCTGTGAGTTCCGTGCCTTGGGTGCTGGGAATTGAACTTGGGTCCTTTGTAAGAGCAGCAAATGCTCTTAACTGCTGAGCAGTCTCTCTAGCCCCTTCCAGGTTTCATATCAGGATGAATGAGGTCTCGTGCAGGGATGTAGAAGACATGTCATTTGTGTGTTGGACTCTTTTGCTGGTACATCTTTATGTTCTGTGTCACAGCATAAGTAGCTAGGTTCAAATTGAACTAAGCCTGAACTAAGGATGATCTTTGTATATTAAAAAATATCTTTGGGAACTTAAAATTCTGCCTGTAGCTGGATGAATAATTACTATTATTATTTCACTAGTTTTCTTCTGTTAATCACTCCTGGAGAATATTTGTAGCTCACAAGCCATCTATTTTTATATAGTAAGTCCATCATGTCCACTGCCATCACACAGAAAGGCTGTTGTGAGGGAGGGGCCACACTCCTTTTTAAATATTCCATCATAATTGGTGTGTCTGTGACGGTTCAACAGTGATTCACCCCAGTTGGAAATCTGTTAGTGCTGGAGGAAAGCCAGTCTTCTTAGAGCTTTTTTAAAGGACACCTTGGCTAGCCCCAAATGTAAGCTTTTCAGAGCCTCCTTGATGAGTAATAATGAGTCTTAACAATGTTTGGCAGGAGGTGTTTGTTATGGAGATGTGTCCACAAATCCCTCACCGAGTTGGGGTGGTAGCTACATCTAAACGCCATAGCAGAGCTCAGAGCCATGGCAGCCCCTGGCCTTGGCCCTGGCTTCTGGAAAACCGGCTGGGGTGTCCTGACTTTCTGTAGAGTAAATGATGAATGAAGTATTGTCACATTAGTTATTAATTACAAACTGAAAAAACAACAACAAACTGATATTGGTTTCTCAAATGGAAAATGTGAATGAAGCGACCGACTGATGACCACAGCAGTCTGTTTAAATAGAATGCTAGTCTGGAACCCTCCACAGCACATGTACGTGCACATATATAAAACATGTATATGTTGTCTCTATCCAATCAGAGCTTTGTCTTTCCTTCCTGTCAACTGATGTTTGGGCAGCAACCCAAGAGGGAAGTAAACAGGGCATCCTCCATGATGCTGTGTGGTGATGAAAAGCCAGAACAGATCACCCCTTTTGTGCTGCCCCCTCATCTCACTTGCTAATAGACTTTCCTTTTAGGGGCACCTGGGGCGGTGTGGGCCCGCTTGTGACAGACGACTGTGATTTTGCTACTCACTTCCCTTCAGCGATCCAAGCAATAATTACAAGCCACTCGATCCAAAAGCATCTGCTGGGAGAATGCTCAGGGTTTCCATTCTCCCTGTGACATACTGAGCATAAGTAATTTGACATGTGGTTTGGGGACCATTAGTGTAATAATAATAATAAATGCCTCTGTGGAAGTTGCCCTAGCAAGAGAGCTAGCGCAATTTGTAAATGCTAACGGGCTAGTAGTGTGTTGTGGCTATGGCAAGAGTTCATTGATGCTCTAAGTTCCTAGATGGCCAGGAGGAGCTGGGCTACATACAATAGGAGGCGTTCTCTCCCACCACTACCTGTCCCCCTCCTGGGTTCCTCAAGGTTTAGGAACAAGGGGTGATCCTCACACAGTTCTGGATGGTGGCTATCACTGGACTGTGTGGATTATACCTGGTTACAGTCCACTGGTATTGTCCAGGCTGACCTCAGAAACTCCACAGTGTCTTTCAAATGCCATTCTTCCTTTGTGAAGCTGGTACTTGTGGTGATCTCTCTTAAGGTGACGGAAGTGTGGGAACAGGTGGTAACCAGGCTGTCTGGCAAGGCAGAGATTTGACCCTGACCTTCCAGTTGTATATGTTTGCTCCTTCTTTTGTGTCCTCCAGGAGCTGTGAGCCTTGAACAGGCAGCTAGCTGGAAATTACTTTTTTGGCTGGGAGAGGCAAGTTTGAGTAAAGGTAGCAAGCAGGGTATGCAGCATTCTTGACAGAGGCAGCCAACCATGGGACTTTGGCTGACTTTAAAAGAGTATTTCAGGGGGTGGGCATGGTGGTGCACGCCTTTAATCCCAGCAGAGGTAGGTGGATCTCTGTGAGTTCGAGGCCAGCCTGGTCTACAGAGTGAGTTCCAGGCCAACTGGCCAGCTGGGGCTACAGGGAGACCCTGTCTCAAAAATGCAAAAAAAAAAAAAAAGAGTACTTTAAGATAGTGTCTTTGAAAAGGATATGCAGGGAAGAATTTTCCAGATGGCTCAGTTTTTTTGGCATTTATTTTCAAAATTTTTCTATCTCTTTCATGAAAGGACTGTGGGAGAATAGTTTGTCTGGCTTACTGAAGCTAAAGCATGTGTATTTTCAGCTTGGATAACATTGACCCTTTCTGAAGAAATCAGTCCAGCCTTTTCTTCAGAAGGATAAAGCTCAAAATAACCTAGAAGATCTGTAAGCACCAAGTAGATAATTTTTTTCTGTTTCTAATTAGTTCATTGTACGTTCTTTGACTTCATTGAATAATCAAGTTTTTCCTTTATTATATTGTAGTGTGTGGGGTGTGTGTGTGTGTGTGAGATACAACAAAAGCAACATCTATTTTTTCATTGTAGAGGGGGATGTTAGGGTCTCTTGAGAGGGTCTGAGTCATTGATGGCCATGGCTTTGACGGCGTCATCTGTCATTCAGTTCCATCTTAGGTCAACAGTATAGACTCAGGAAATGAGCCCCTCAGAGAAGGTATCAGTTCAAAGCCACACTTAATTGAATATAATGGGATCATTTCTTGTGTCCTTTCTTTTATCCCTCCATTTAGTTCATACGTTTGCTTTGTCTAAGACTTGTTTTCTTTTAATGATCAGGTAATCCTAGTCCTCAAACTTGGGGCTATTAAGATTCCGACACTATAAAAGCAAATCCGAATCAGATGCAAGTGGACAGCCTTGACCTCCTTACTTGGTTGGGTGTGACTCTGGTGGTATCCAGCTCCACAGCACCCAGGTGCTGGTTGTATTCTGGGTGTGAAGCTCTGTGTTGAGGGCTGGGGAAGACTTTGGATGAGGAAGAAAAAACTTCTGCATCCGTTCCTCCTGTCACTCAAAGTGGGTGCATGGCAGACCCCAAAGTGACCCTCTGTGAGCGAGACTGTGCAAAGCATGGTGTCAGGAACTTAGCAAACTAGACTCCTCTGACCAGTGATTTTAGCACTGGAGCTGGGGAGACAGACAGGGAAAGGAACTTGACATGATCGGAAGTCTGGAGGCAGGGCAGAGTACCCCACATTTTAGGGGAGTGTGAGGTAAGCCAATTTCTTCAAATAGAACTTGGTTTGTGTAGTAGAATTATGGAAAAGAATCTGAACTGTTAAGTCATGTCTATTTGGAGGCAAGTTAACTGGTAGGGTGGCATTTATGTGATGTGTACTGGTGAGGAGACCCCGTTCATACCCAGGCTTTAGTGGTCAGCTCTCTACAATACCAGAGGTACTAGTTGGGTAAACTCAAGAAATCTTTCTGCACTATTTTTCTTACCTAGTAAGTAGAGGCTCATGACACTGAGAGGGTGGTTGTGAGTGAACTGGCTATAGGGCAGGAGTTTATTTCATATGACCTGGTGTGATGTGGTCTCCTGACAATATGAAGGACAACCAGGGATGGGAAGGAGCTGGCAGGCATGGCATGGAGTAACTTTGAATTTCTCAGGATCCTCACTTACCTGTCCTTCATCAGCCATGGTTTTCAAGTCCTGTTTTCTTCTTGAAGCATAGAGTTAAGATGCCTTGTAGTGGTTACCATCATTGGTCTTCCAGACCCCCCCCCCCCCGGTGTTTTACTCCACAGTGCCCTCTGCTGGGCTTTGAGTTTGATTCTCACTGTGCCCTGTTTCAGAGGTGGGGTCTGCACCAGTAAGACAGCACCCTTTTTAGTCTCATTTTTTTGGAGGAGAGTCATCTTCTTTACTCTGTCCATTGCTAATATCATCCCCAAACACCTTTAAGTCAATTGCACACACAGAAACAGTGCTTAATAGGGAAGCTAGCACATAGATACCATCTCAGTACTGAGGATAACACCCTTCTAACTCCGCACCTGGGTGAAATCACTGCCTGAGATGTAACTGGGAGAATGGACCAAAGAAAGCCATTACTCATGTGACAGGCCCTTTTGGTGGTGTCCTGGTGGCTGCCTGGCATCCTAGGCTCCCAGCATCAGCTCCTGTCTCTTTTCCTTTCTCCTTGGCACATGAGAAGACATCAATTCTGCTGTGATCAATTTTCCAGGAAAATGTGCTGACATTGACAGATCCCAAACTGTCACTTCAGTGTTGAGTACTACATTTTCAAACACATGACACAGAAAGATGGATTCTTCCCTTGCCCTGCCCAAGCCTGTTCTTTGGAACATTTTTATTACATCTGGTCTGCTTTAGAGCTTTTGTTTTGTGTTTAAACACATGCATAGACTTAACAGTAAAGCGACCTATCAATGGTAACTGTATAGTGGGCGTTGTACCCATTAATGTGAATGTATTGAATCCATGTCGTGCTTTCTGGTTTGCAGGGCATTTTCACATATGTGATCTCCTTTGCTCACAAAAGCTTGTCTTGTAAATTAATAGACACAAGTGCAATAACAGTGCTCCCGTTACAAAATAGTAGCAGAGGCTAAGCAAATTAAATGTTTTGCCCAGGCCACTCTTTGCTGGTTCAGTGGTAAAGTCTGTGGCCTTTTAACATCACATCCCCCCAACTTTTGTTCTCCACCATACTGCTGCAAAGACCCAGCTAGAGAAAACAACATTTGAGCTGCTCAGTACATATTTACTATATTGGTTATAAATCCAAGATGTGTAGGCTAACATGAAGTCATCGAAAACTATGGTGGTGAAATTTAGGGAACTAAACTAGTTCCGAAAAACTCCTGAAGGTTTATTTGAGTGATCTCCTGACAGACTGGCCACATGTGGCAGCAGAAAGCTAGAGAGATGTCCCCTGGACCAGAGGTTAGTTCCTAAAGTAGAAACAAGAGAAAGGAGAATCACACTTGGTATACGGCAAGTTAGGATCTGGGTTAGGATGCAGACAGGTATCAGTGGTTGTGAATGAGAAAGTCTGGAAGCCAGAAACGGACTATAGCTTAGATGTAGATTTCCTAGTGGCTCTTTTCGACCAGGACTCCATAGCAGTGAGGCTGGATACGAAGCAACTGCACATGGATTGTGCTGGTCTGACTTGGTGTTAAGTGGCACAGTGGCAGAGTGGAAAGGGTCAGCCGACTTCACGCTCCCTCAGTGGACTTGAGCCCTGTCTGTGTAAAGAGGGTGAGGGGCAAATACTGGCAGGTCTGCCCCAGATTGGTATGAGAGGCCAGTGGGGTGGGGAGTGTGAAAAAACTCAGGGAACTACTAATAACACACTTTCTGTTGTCTCCTTATTTGTTGATTCAAGCTGTCTGCATTTCTTGTCCCTGAACAGGTCCGTGATCTGCATCTGAGTGGTGCTCCCATAGACGGTGCTCCCAGAGACAACACGTGGGAAGTCCAGACTTACGTTCACTTCCAGGATCATCAGGGAGTTGCCCTCGCCATCAAGCCGGAGCACAGAGTGGAAGATGTCTTGACTTTGGCATGCAAGGTGATGGACTTTGCTGTGGACACATACTTCTGTGGCCTCTGGTTTTGTGTGTTGGGGGGGCGGTGTTAAGACCTCACTTTTTATACTAGGGAACGCATTACACTTGCTAATTAATATATTAATTCTTGGCCCCTCAGAAGAATGGTCCTTTCGGTCAGGATCCCATACTTCCATGATGACCTGGATTATTCCTCTTAAATTTAAAATGTCTGTATTGAGAATCATTGTGCTGCTGTTTAAGTTCCTTAGAGGTGAAGTGGTTTGATGTACTGTTAAATCATGAACCAGGTTTCCTCAGATTAAATAGTGAGGGGGCAAATACTGGCAAGTCTGCCCCAGATTGGTATGAGAGGCCAGTGGGGTGGGGAGTGTGAAAAAGCTCAGGGAACTACTAATAACACACTTTCTGTTGTCTCCTTATTTGTTGATTCTTTTCCTTCATAAATATGTTAGAGTATGAAATTCAGAATTTTGAATTCCATGGGACTTGTTCACATTTTTCAACTGTCTCTAGGAATAGGAAACAAGTTAAATGAAGACTGATATGAGATGTTGGCTATTCATTCCTCAGACTCGATTTTATTCCCAGTCTGAAGAGGAAGTGGAGACGTATTAAGGACAGTGCAGAGGGAGAAAGTAGATTCAGCCAGAGCGGGTCTTGTGCTTATAGACCACCGGGTGGCAGAGTAGAGATGCACCATTTGAGTTTCAAGAGGAAGTGCATGTAGATAGAACCTATGGAGTTTGCCATCAAGCCGGAGCACAGAGTGGAAGATGTCTTGACTTTGGCATGCAAGGTGATGAACTTTGCTGTGGACACATACTTCTGTGGCCTCTGGTTTTGTGTGTTGGCGGGGGCGGTGTTAAGACCTCACTTTTTATACTAGGGAACACATTACACTTGCTAATTAATATATTAATTCTTGGCCCCTCAGAAGAATGGTCCTTTCGGTCAGGATCCCATGCTTCCATGATGACCTGGATTATTCCACTTAAATTCAAAATGTCTGTATTGAGAATCATTGTGCTGCTGTTTAAGTTCCTTTGAGGCGAAGTGGTTTGATGTACTGTTAAATCATGAACCAGGTTTCCTCAGATTAAATAAGCTTGATACCATTCACATTTGCTTCAAGAAGACTGTTATGGCTATTCATTCCTCAGACTCGATTTTATTCCCAGTCTGAAGAGGAAGTGGACAGTGCAGAGGGACAAAGTAGATTCAGCCAGAGCGGGTCTTGTGCTTGTAGACCACCGGGTGGCAGAGTAGAGCTGAACCATTTGAGTTTCAAGAGGAAGTGCATGTAGATAGAACCTATGGAGTTTGCAGACACTCACAGACACACACACACACAATATCTGAATCTATACATTTTTCCTTCATAAATATGTTAGAGTATGAAATTCAGGATTTTGAATTCCGTGGGACTTGTTCACATTTTTCAACTGTCTCTAGGAATAGGAAACAAGTTAAAGTTAGCAACCATGACTATATTAGAGAGCTAGCTTTTGCTGTGATAGCAAGATGTGATCTGTGATCAGATATATTCTATGTTAATCTCTCACAAATGTATCTTGCAGTTAGTGATAATGTCATCTAAAAGAAAACCTTCAATTTGACCATTTGGCCCTCCTTTTTCCTTTTTGCATGTCTAAGTTTGGGCTCTTCTGTGGTTCTAGACAGAGCAAATTATATGCAGTTTTCTAGGTTTCTACTGTGACGTGTCACAAGCCTGCCGAACACTGATGGATTGGGAAAGAACGTTCAGACTCCGAGTAACTGTCCTGTCTTTACAGATGAGGCAGCTGGAGCCCAGTCACTATGGCCTGCAGCTCCGAAAAGTGGTGGATGAAGGCGTTGAATGGTTTGTTCCTGCGCCGTATGAGTACATGCAAGAGCAAGTAAGTGGGTGTTGGCTACAGGGAGGGACCTACCGTATCCATGGCCTGACTTTTTCTCTTTTTTTAGACAGGGTTTCTTGTAGCCGAGGCTGGCTTTGAATTCCCTATGTAGCTAGGGATGGTCTTGAACTTCTGGTATTCCTTTCTGTATCTCCCAAGTGCTGGGATTACAAGTGTGTGCTACCACACGCAGTCCATGCTGTGCTGAGGATCAGACCCAAGGCTTCGTACATGCTAGGCAAGCAGTCTCTCACCTGAGCTACATCCCTCACCTCTGCATGGCCTTTGATTTTGAGAACTGAAATTTTGAGGGCAAAATGCTTACATTCGGCATTTGATTTGTAAACAGTCTCCATCTAAAGAATATCTTAAGTTTTCTTGGCTTATTATGAAAATAGTGTTAAAATACTTTTCTAAGATACTGAGTGTTAAGTCCTCTGACCCTTTTGCTTTCATGTTTCATAGGTTTTTGATGAAATAGAAGTTTTTCCACTCAGTGTTTACGATGTGCAGCTCACAAAGACCGGGGACGTGTCTGACTTTGGTAGGTGGCCAGAGCCCTTCCCGTCTTGAGAAACTGCCTTCCTGCCCCAGTGTGTTCTGACATAACTTTATGTTCGTGTTTCCAGAATATAAGACAGTGGTTTCTGAACTTCCTGTCTCTCCTTATTTTTATTATGATTTATTTATTTTATCAGGCTGGGATACACGTATCAGTATTGGGGAAAATAGCAAAGAAATTATGAGAATGAGCATAAAAATTGTGTTAGTATCACTCCACTGCACCTGACCAGTTCTTGTTGGCTGGTGCAATCCAGTGGTGAGCTGAAAGTACGCCCCAGTTTTTAAGAAACAGGGATTTTACATGTGGATGACTTTGTGCTGAAAGTGTGGGAACAGCCTAGGAGGAAAAATTGATAGCCAGGTGTGGTGGCCCATTCCTAATCTCAACACTTAGGAGATAGAGGCAGGCAAACCTTTGTGAGATTGAGGCCAGCCTGGTCTACTTAATGAGTTCCAGGTCCAGGCCACCTGGGGCTGTATGGAGTCCCTGTTTTTCAGATAGATAGATAGATAGATAGATAGATAGATAGATAGATAGATGATAGATGATAGATAGATCGATCTAGATCGATCTATCTATATATGAAATCATAAATAGTTTCTTTCAACTAATTCTAGTTAATCATATGTTAAAATTTCACTCTTCTGGGCTAGAGAGATGGCTCAGTGGTTAAGAACACTGAATGTTCTTGCCGAAGACCCAGTTTTGTATCCAGCACCCACATGGCAGCTAACAACTGTCCGTAACTCTAGTTCCAGGGGATTTGATGCCCTCTTCTGACCTCTGTGGGCACTGCATGACATGGGTGCACTTCCATATATGCAAACAATACACATGCACATAAAAATAATTTTAAAAAACTTCACTCTTCTGACTCTTATTAATTCTATGATCAGATTTGAGACAGGTTCTCACTTTGCAGTCCCGACTGGCCAGGAACTTCTTAAGTAGCCTAGGGTAGTCTCAGACTTGTAGTGATCCTCCTGCCTCAGCCTCCCAAATGCTGAGATTATAGGCAGGAGCTACCACACTGTCCTGAGATTGGTAGTGATCCCAGTTCTAAGTTGGCTTTCCTTTGGAAGCTCTCTTAGCCTTTTGTCTGTTTCTCTTGGTTCTTGTTTATCTTCCTTTTTAACCTTCCAATTCTCTTCCTCTACCCCTGACAGCTCAATGGCCTTTTTATCTCTGTGACCTTGACATATCTAGGTATCTCCCATAAGTGGGAATCATTCAGTATTTGTCTTTTTGTAGTTGACTTATTTTCCTTTGATTGTTTTCAAGGTTTCTCTTTGTTGTAGGATGTGCTAGGATATTCTTCCTTTTTAAGGCTCAGTGGTCTTCCACTGTCATGGATAGCACATTTTGTTTGTCCATCCTTCGTCTGGTAGCTGGGCTGCTGTGAATGAACCCCTATGTGTGGAATTGCAACTTCTGAGTGTGGTTGCACCATTTGTGTGTCTAAACCTTCCCGTCTGGTGTGGTCTGCCGTTCCTACTCTCGCTAGATGTTTGTACTTTCAAAATAGTTGTAACAGCAACTTTTGCAACATTCATGAGAATAGATGTTCAAAGAAATACTGCTGGCTGGGCTGGGGAGACGCGAGATGAGGTGGGGAGATGGGCTTACACCTGTTTCCCCTGTCCTCCCTAGGGTTTGCCGTAACAGCACAGGTGGACGAGCACCAGCATCTCAGCCGGATATTTATCAGCGATGTTCTCCCTGATGGGCTGGCGTATGGGGGAGGTCAGTGTGACACCATGTCTGTGGCCTCTTAATCTCTGTGGAAGCAGCCTGCCCCATAGACTGCCTTCTTTCAGTTTTGTCAGAAGATTTCTCTTTGGAGTTTTAGAGAAAGAATTTACTTGAGAATACATATGTGTTTACATAGCAAAAACCTGTGTGTGTGTGTGTGTGTGTGTGTGTGTGTATGTATGTAAAGAGAGTATACATACAGATGTCCAATTAAAGGAGGAAGACAACCCCACCCCCTGGCATTTAACATCAGAACACTAGAAGATGTGTAGATTACTAGCTTCCCAACTTTTTCCTGTTAGAAAGATCCCTCTAATACTAGCCTGGAGTGAGCTAAAATTCATTTTGTTACCAGCAGTACCCCAAGACTGCCATAATGCTGCTTTCTTGAAAGAAAGCAGTGAACAAAACAGACCTACCCTCCGACCTGTGGTTTGAATTTGCAGCCTGTTTTCTCCTTAGAATATATCTCTCTGTAATCTCTCCCCCTTTTTTTTTTCTTTCTTTTCCCCTTTCTTGTTCTCAGGGCTGAGAAAGGGCAATGAAATCGTGACCTTAAATGGGGAAGCTGTGTCTGATCTTGACCTGAAGCAGATGGAGGCTCTGTTTTCTGAGAAGAGTGTTGGACTCACTCTAATTGCCCGGCCTATGACTACAAGGACAGCCCTGTGTGCTTCCTGGTCAGACAGTGACTTATTCTCCAGGGACCAGAAGAGTCCCATGCCCTCTCCCAACCAGTCCCAACTGCTGGAAGAATTCCTAGACAACTTTAAGAAAAACCCTGGAAATGGTAAGGCTGTGGTCTGTCTTCATCTTGAACTGTTGGGACCATCACTTGGTGTTCTAAGGCTGCAATTTTTATTGTAAATTCAGGTTGTATAAGCTGCTCAGAGAATGCTTCCCTACTTATTCAACAAGAACACAGACCAGTGGGGCTTGATTAAACCAAGGGTTCATACATTTTAGTAATTAGAGCACTTTCAGAAAAATAGAAAATGTTTTGCACAGCATAGTCTTCAAAACCACAGTTCTTTTAAAGTCACTTACGATTTAGTATTTCCATCGCCTGTGGTTGAAGGCAGGCAGCAGTCTGCACACACGAGAACACTGAGAGACTTTGTTCTTATTCAGTTGAGTCTAAGGCAAAGCATGTCTGCGGTGATCTGTGTGGCTCTCAGTAGCAGGTACAGTGCAGTTTTTCTTTGAGGGTCTGCTTTCTCAAGAAGCAGCAAGGGCTGAAGAGATGGCTCAGTGAGCACTGGCTGCTCTTGCAGATGACCTGGGTTCAGTTCCCAGCACCCACATGGTGGCTAGCAACTGTCCTTAACTCCAGTTTTAGGGGAACCTAATGCCTTCTTTTGGCCTCCGTGTGTGTGGTGCACAAATATACATGCAGGCAAAACATTCGTATACATAATTTTTTTTTTTTTGGTCTTTCTGGGACAGCATCTCCCTATAGCCACAACTGGCCTGGAACTCACTATGTAGACCAGGCTGGCCTTGAACTCACAGAGATCTGCTCTCCTCTGCCTCCTGAGTGCTGGGATTACAGATGTGTGTCACCGTGCCCAGACACATAAAATTTTTGAAAAGCAGCAAACTTTGGATGTAATTTATGATTTCAGAATTTATGGTCTCCAACTAAGACTTTCTGCCTGCATAATTGTCTCCGGGTAAATCCCAGTATGAGGAAACAGGAAAAGGTGAGGATTCCTACCCATCTCTCATGTTGCAGTCAAATCAGAGGCCCCAGCTGAGCACCTTAGTCAGGCTCCATAGAGCAAAGGTCCAGTCTTGATCTTGAGAATGTAGAGTCATTTTTCACACTGCCCTGCAGTGCCAATGGATTTATAATAGAAATGTCTGCATGGTAACCCCAAATGAATGTAAAACAGAAAACAGAGGCTGTTAGGATGGATTTAATTATAAAGCTGGTTTATATAAAGTTAGTAAAAAGATCTAATTTATTGACAGCAACTGCTGGAGAAAAGATTTAGATGTTTGGGGATAATTGCTTCTAAAAGAAATTCATAGGGGATAGTTTAGAAAGAGAAAGATTCCGTTTAGGATTCTAAAATAAACCTCAAAACTTAAATTTGTTTAAATGGTCCAGGATCTGATTAAGAAAATCTGGTCTTTATGTAATTAAGCAGTTTATTTTCATAGAGGATATATTACCAGTTGTAAAGATGACATATTTTTATTCAGCACTATGTTTTAAAATCTTATTCCTCGTTTCTTTACCTATGATTGAGAGCTCTGATGTAAAACTTCTCGTGAAATAAAATGATGATGTATTTTAACCACACATTCACCAAAGCAAGGCAAGGTTTCAGAACTTTAACCCAGTCTGGTTTGGACAAGTAGTTTTTTAATTTTACCGCATTTGATTACTTAGAGGTAGAATTTTTTTAAAAAAAATCATAGATTAGTAAGTATAAATGATAGCTTGGCAGTATTGTGTCTTTGGAAACATTTTGCCTTTCTAAGCCAAAGGCATTTAACATTGGTGCCTGTCTACTTAAGGGGGATGTCTAGTCTCAGTTTAAAGTTGGCTCAGTCTCCCTTTTCTCTCCACTTGCTTTTAGTTTTGGGTAAATCTTAATTAATGGTGTTCGTTAGGTTTGAAATTGCAAAGTGATAAAGTGATATGTCAATGCAGTCTATACTGGTAGGACACTAATAGCTTCACTTGAATTTAAACCAGCTCTAGGTAGGAAAAAACAAAACTAAGTTTCCTCGTTTGCTTTTTCAGTGGGGTGGCACATCCCATAGTTTAGAACACACAGGGGTGCCTTGCTTAAATGAAGGTAGCATTTAATGTATAGTCATGTGAAGGGTTTTGGATAAAGCTGTACTCATGTCACATTGTGGCAGCACCTTCTGCTTTAATATTAATAGCCTATTATTTAAATATTGGGCAAAATGGCTGGCTTTAAAGATAGTCATTAACAAACTTATGTATACCTGTGTAGGAGAATCCATGTTCTGTGTACTTGTTTTGCCTTGTTCCTGTTCTCAGGGTGACAACTTAAATATTGGGCAAAATGGCTGGCTTTAAAGATAGCCATTAACAAACTTATGTACACCTGTGTAGGAGAATCCACGTTCTGTGTACTTGCTTTGCCTTGTTCCTGTTCTCAGGGTGACAGCTGTTACAAAGATGTAACAATTCTAGTTCTTAAGATTAAATTTTCTGAGATTTCAGTGAGGTAATAACCCGGAAGAGACATGTATCTCACTTAATACATAATATATAACCACCTCTGATTACCAGCTGAGGTTCAAAGTCATTGTACTGTGGTCAATAAATGCAGGTTTGTTTTATTTAAAAAAAAAAAAAGCTAGTTTTTGAGATCATTTTCGTAATGAAAAATCAGATTGCAGGATTTGTGATTCATACGGTATCTGGTGCCTTCTCCGTCTCTTCTGGGGCTTTCTTCCAGTCTGAGATACCATTAAGTTGACTATGGGCATATAAAAGCAACTGTCCTGAGACAAAAATTATGATGGGACTAATTAATGGCTTGGTGACAGTAAGGCCATCCTTCAGCCCTGGGCTGTTTAATGTGTCTGTCTTCAGATTTATTGTTCTTGAGGGACACGTTCCCTACCTGTCTTACTCCTCTGCGCATTTTTCATAATAAGAAAGCACCTCAGGGCTGGGTGCAGTGGTGCACACCTTTAATTCCAGCACTCAGGAAGCAGAGGCCAGCGAATCTCTGTGAGATGGAGTTGCAGGGAGACCCTGTCTTTAAAAACAACGAAAAAGCACTGCAGACCGCAGAATCTGCACTACTTTTGATCCTCACAGAAATGAGCTACTGTAGAAAGAGCGAAAGGGGCCAACTTACCTTTTTACAGCAAGAATCAAACAGACGAGTCAAGCTTGCTTACCACTTTCTGCAAGGGGGCAAACTAAGGAGGCAGCCCTGGCTTCTGTGGGTCTAGATCATGCTGTTTTGCAAAGCACGTCCTGGTGTCCCTATGCATGGGGTGCTTAGCCAGTGAGGCGGTAGGAGGCTGGTCTCCAGCTCATTTGGCTTCTGGCATCCCCGTCTCGCCACACTGCAGACCTCCTTGTACACCTTCGTTGCTTCAGCCTTCCCCAGCAGCTAGGCTAGGCTGTGCCTCCCGGGCTGACCTTCTGTCAGGTAGATCACAGGCCCTTCTGCCCCAGGCAGGTGCCTATTTGTGAACTCCAGGTGACTGACTATATTGACTGACTATTTTGATAGTGTCTGTGCTGCATCTCCACACACTTGGATTTTTTTTTTTTTTTTTTTTCCTTTTTGCATAGTTGAATTGCTTGAAAGGAAATTCAGGGCTTACCAACTTTTGAAGGTTAGCATAGGGAGCCAGAAAAGAAGACTCCTGCCCAGGGAGCCATTGTACCGTTAAGGGAGGTCATGTGCTACGCGACCAGCCCAACTCTTGTGTGACAAGAATTCTGAACCCCCAAGTCATCCCCTTCCCTCTGCTACAGCTTAAAGATGAACTAAGACTTACTTTGGAATCCAGGTACAGTAGCTTTCACCATCATCCTAGCACTTCGGGTTGAGGCAGGAGGGTTCTAAGTTCCAGGCCAGCCTGGGCTAAACAACAAGACGCTATCTCAAAACAAAACATCAATAAAAAAAAACTTACCTTGATTTCCTTTTGTTATGAAACAGAAAAAAAATCCTATTTTCTTACTATAAAATTAAGATTTACACAGATAAAAATTTAAATGATTTTGGATAATGGATTCTAGTATGACTTGGGATTCTCCTAGGCAGTGGTCAATGTAGTGTGCCTCCCCATACATGTCCCATTGCTGGAAGGAGCTATGTGCTTGAAAAACAGAAAGGAACGCCCTATGTCCTTTGAGCAGAGGCCAGGCCTCTACCTGGTGATGTTTCTGGAAGGCCTGCTTTTTAAAGAAAAACGTTAAGAATTCCAGAAGGTGGAAGAGGAAGAAAGCCATAAGGAGTTGTCTGGCACTTTGTGATGCACTTTGACCGTCTCAGTGGGCCAGATGCAGACACTTCCTGCTGAATGCTGAAGGGTAAGGCCCTGGGAACAGGCTGCACTGGGTTTTTGGTAACGTTTCCAGAAATCTGCACTGGTCAGTGTGAGTCTCTGGATTAACCACCGGTTTTAAGAGAAATCTGTCTATATCTCTGACTCAAAGAAGTGTGAAACACAGTGATGGATCTCAGAGGCCAGGGAAGCCATTGTAAGTCACCATTCAGGGTGTGTGCTTTCCTAGGAAAGAAGCATCTTACTCCTGTTTGGGATCTCTTGACAACAATGACCCTTAGTGACATGAGTCTCAAACTTCATTATTCAGGAGACTCACCTGAGCTTAGAAAAAGGCAAAACACCTGGCTTCTGGTGTGAGAGTGCCTCCTTCAGGCAGCTAGGAGCAGTGCAGGCTCCGTTCTGCCCAGCCCTCTAGGTCTACTGGAGGCAGGCTTCACTTGAGCAGGTAGATTGTTCCAGAACCCTGCTGGGCTGAGGTTCTGAGGAGCTGATGAGATAATGTGTTGTGTTCTCAGCAAATATGGTAGTGATTGTGTGAGATGTCCTTTCTGTTAGGGATTCCATGCTCCACACACCACCACTGTCCTTCCAGGGGCTCAGAAAGCACAGGTGACTGGTTCACTTTCCTCCCTTGGTCTTTAGAGCCCTCCTGAGAACTCTCTGTCTGTCTGTCTGTCATCAGCATAGGAGGCCAGGGAAAAGGGCTCCAAACTGTCACTCTGCCATCTGTGGTCCTGCAGTGGAATTCACAAGGACATAGTGTTT